ATATCCACACACCAATCCTTTCTATGAGTATTTCATGAGGAATAAAATCACAAAAGACAATGAAATTAATGGTTTTTTAAAATTGGGAAGATGAACTGCTTCAGATCAAAGTTAAAGTATAAATAATTTTTTATTTAACTTGTATTCAATCAGCTTTCGCAGGTTGGCAAAGTTTAAATAACTTTTAGTTTATTAAAGGGACAACGTAAGCAAAATAAGGCTGAAAACCCTAAAGATAGATATCTTACCTTATATTTCTCATTTGCAAATAAAACTGAGGCTCTGTGAAATTTGCATAGAGGATTCTTGGGATCAATAACAATGGCTCTATTTAGGGTATCCAAAGCCTTCTCAGATTTTTTTAGTGCATGCTGAACCTATAAGAAATAAAGATCATGTTAATGCTCCCTTTTGATATTTATGAAGAAAGACTGAGAACCAATAATGTGACTGAAAACCAACATAAAGATAACAAAACTATTAAAGTTGTATGGTCCAAGTGGATTGCCCACTGAGTTAAGTGGACTTAGTAAATGATTACCAAATAATTAAAGATTATCTCTAAAATCTCCTCCAATTCTAATTCAACTACTTCACTTTAAAGATGAGAATACTCAAGTCCAGAGATTTTTTTTCTTCGAGACAGAGTCTCACTCTGTCACCCCGGGTAGAGTGTAGTGACATCATCATAGCTCATTGCAACCTCAAACTCCTGGGCTCAAGTGATCCTCCTGCCTCAGCCTCCCAAGTAGGAGTACCTGGGACTACAAGTGTGTGCCATGATGCCTGGTTAATTTTTCTATTTTTAGTAGAGACAGGGTCTTGAACTCCTGAGCTCAAACAATCCTCCTACCTTGGCCTCCCAGAGTGCTAAAATTGCAGGCGTGAGGCACCACACCTGGCCCAGAGATTTTAAATAACTTGCTTGGGACCAAAATCTAGGTCCTCTGGCTCCCAATCCACCATTACACATCCATAATGATGATCACGATTCTATCTTTAGAGCAGTATTTGGTTACTTTTAAGTCTAAAAGGCAAGCAAAACCTTGTATTATTATCACAAGAAAAACCTGTATTATTTAGCCAGATAATACTCACATTTCAACAGGTTGAGTGTGGTCTTCCAAATATTAGACTTTTCAAAACTATGTTCAAAGAACCCCTATTTATCAACCCTGTTTCATTTGGAACAATTATACTTTCACATATTGTAGGAATTTATGAAAAATGATTCTTTTGCCATTTTTTTTTTAATGAGACAGGATCTGTCTCTGTCACCCAGACCCAGCCTGGAGGGCAGTGGTGTGATCACAGCTCACTGTAACCCCGAACTCTTGGGCTCAAGTGATCCTCCTGGCTCAGCTTCCTGAGTAGCTGGAACTACAGGCCTGTGCCACCATGCCTAGCTAATTTTTAAAATTTTTGTAGAGATAGGGTCTCACTATGTTGCCCAGACTGGTCTCAAACTCCTGGCCTCAAGTGACCCTCCCACCTGAGCCTTCCAAAGTATTGGGATTACAGCCACTGTGCTCAGCCTCTTCTTCTTTACCTAATCGTAAATCACTGATCTCTAATCCTGGGAAGCAAATAATTTAAGGTATTTTAAGTAACTGAAAATTTAAAAGATTAAAAAAAAGTAACAAGCCTCACTATTCATTCATGTGTATATATTCATATTCTAGTATGTTCCTCCCTAGACATATGTTAAAAATCAAGTGGGGTGAATAGATGTGGCTGTGAAATTTTAACAAATATTGTCACAAGAATGTGAGAACAGGTACTACCAACATCTGGTTGCTAAACTCATCTATGCAATGATCTTTGCAGAAAGTTATTACTATATGTGGCCAAATAGTCTGCCCACAAGATTGAGACCTTAAATATTAGTTTCCTAAAAGAGAAAAGCATACTATCATATCTGAAAATGTCTTTAAAT